CCAGCGCCAGCCACAGTGGTGCCAGTCATCTCGGTGGGGTCCAGTCTATATCCAGGTCCAGGACTGGGGCATGGTCACTCCCCTGGCCTGCACCCCTACACTGCTCTACAGCCCCACCTGCCCTGCAGCCCTCAGTACCTCACCCACCCAGCTCACCCCGCCCACCCCATGCCTCATATGCCCCGGCCTGCCGTCTTCCCTGTGCCCAGCTCTGCATACCCACAGGTGAGGCTAGTGTTTTGCTGGAGGGGGATGTATGGGAGAACATAGAGCGTTCAAGGGGGTGGATTCTGGGAATATAGTAGAGCTGCCCAAGAGTCTTGTTGTGGTGGTGGGAGTCTGGGAGAACCCAGCGCAACTAAGATAAATATAGGGATACTCACTGTGGGGCAAAGGGAAAGAACTACATCCCAATCTAATTTTGTTATCTTCCTTCTCTCCTTCCCCCTGCTTCTAGGGTGTGCATCCAGCATTCCTGGGGGCTCAGTACCCTTACTCAGTGACGCCTCCCTCACTTGCTGCCACTGCTGTGTCTTTCCCTGTCCCTTCCATGGCACCCATCACAGTACATCCCTACCACACAGAGCCAGGGCTCCCACTGCCCACCAGTGTGGCCTGTGAGTTGTGGGGACAGGGAGCAGGTGAATGGTGGGGAGGTACACTGGCAGGGAGGTGGGAGGCTATCTTCTCTGCCCCCTCTGGGCTGAGTTCCTCATGTGACTTTCATCCGCCCTCAGTGAGCAGTGTCCATCCAGCATCCACATTTCCAGCCATCCAGGGTGCCTCACTGCCTGCCCTGACCACACAACCCAGCCCTCTGGTGAGCGGGGGTTTTCCACCACCAGAAGAAGAGACGCATAGTCAGCCTGTCAATCCACACAGCCTGCACCACCTGCATGCCGCCTACCGTGTTGGTGAGAGAAGGCCTTTCCTGTACTCCAACCTGCAGTTGTGCTAGAGGCTCTTCTGCAGATCCCCCAACTAGTGGGATCAGATACTGGGTTGGGGTAGAGGGTGAAGAGGATGTGTCTACCCTTATCTCCTAGGAATGCTGGCACTGGAGATGCTGGGTCGCCGGGCACACAACGATCACCCCAACAACTTCTCTCGCTCCCCTCCCTACACTGATGATGTCAAATGGTTGCTGGGGCTGGCAGCAAAGCTGGGTAACACCTCCTCTCCCCAGGACCATTGCCCCCCCCTCGTGCTTCCCCCACCTTCCTATCCCAGACCTCCTTCCTAGCTCTTGCTCAGAGTTGAGGCCTTGGTCGGGTACGTGTGCGTGCGCGGGGGTGGACGGTTACCTCAGCTCCTGGGGTGGAGGGAGGCTGTCTGCCAGCCCAGAGCTGAGATATCTAAGTTGGGTCCCTAGGGCAGAGGTGGCCACCCCCGGCTCATGCCCCTCCCCCCTGCCCCCCAGGAGTGAACTACGTGCACCAGTTCTGTGTGGGGGCAGCCAAGGGGGTGCTGAGCCCGTTTGTGCTGCAGGAGATCGTCATGGAGACGCTGCAGCGGCTGAGCCCTGCTCATGCCCACAACCACCTGCGTGCCCCAGCCTTCCACCAACTGGTGCAGCGCTGCCAGCAGGCATACATGCAGGTGACCATCCAGGAAGCATGGAACCAGGGTGGAGATGCTCCTGGCCTGGTTCTATGCTCTGTACTAAGGCTCATTCTCCACACATTCCTCCTCCAGTACATTCACCACCGCCTGATTCACCTGACCCCTGCCGACTACGACGACTTTGTGAACGCGATCCGCAGTGCCCGCAGCGCCTTCTGCCTGACTCCCATGGGCATGATGCAGTTCAACGACATCCTGCAGAACCTCAAGCGCAGCAAACAGACCAAGGAGCTGTGGCAGCGGGTCTCACTGGAGATGACCACCTTCTCCCCCTGAGCCTGGCTCCCCTAGGGCCCTATACAGGGACACAGGCCTGTGGCTATGGGGGCTCCTCACACAGGGGCAGTGAGTCTTGGCTGGACAGATCATCCCCACCCAGTTCCCTGGTAGCCCAGACTGGCAGCTGCTCTTGGGCTGTAGCTTGGGGCCAAGATGTCTCAGACCCTAGAGGCTTAGGGCTGGGAGACACAGCCCTGTCTGGGAGGGGGCGCTGGGTGGCCTCTGGTATTTATTTGGCATTTATAAATATATAAACTTTTTTTACTCTAGTTTGCTTGGACTTTTCTCTTTCCCGTCATGTGCAGATGAAACTTGAAGTGAAGGGAAATGTCTAGTTTTTTCCCACTCCAGTGAGGCAGACAAAACAGAAAAATAAGGATGTTTATTTAAGGACATTTCTAGCCCAGAGCTAGGGCTCATACTTGGCTCTATGAGCCACTGTCAGACCTCAACCCCATTCAATGTGAATGACATTAGGGAGGCCGAGCCACAGGTAGATCCCACTGCCAGGTATAGACAGACAAAAATTCTGGGGATGAAAAGAGAAACTATGAACTGATAATGTTCTTCTATACCCTGCCTTGACCCTCTCACTCCTCCCCATCTACCAAGACCATGGGTCAAAGGTGATGAATATCATGATGGGGATACCAAGGGAAGCCCCTTTATTAAGTCCCAGAGCTATGGAAAGGGATGCCCTTCCCAGCTATCCAAGGCCTGGGGCCACTGAGGTAGAAGGGGGGACGGGCCAAGGCACTTTCATCCCCCTTATGGGCCCTGTTCTAGGCATGCCCCTTAGAGAAGCAGGGTTTTTTGTTGTTTTGTTTTTTGTTTCGTTTTGCTGGTATGAAAGGCTGGAACGTTAGCTCAGACTGGAATGCTGTAGTTCTTCCCGAAGCCATGAGGGTACCGGCTGTCCAAGCCGGCTCAGCAGCTTTGACAGCTCCAAATTATGGTTCCGGAAAAAATCCGTAAGGAAAAGGCGGGACTGGCAGGAGAAGATGAAGGCAGAAATGGTGAGGAGTGGGACACAGCATTGTATGCTGGAAGCAGAGACAGATACCTTGCCCCAAGCTTTACTTACCTCATTGTCCATATCTGGGTACCTTCGGCCTTTGCTCTTGCCTAGACAACGAGTCTTACCACCTTCCAGTCCCTGGCACCAAAATCCTTTATCTTCATCAAATCTGATCAACAGGAAGAGGTCATTAGATGGCAGAGAAATTCAAGTGCCATAAATGTGCACTAACCTTCCCAGCCCATAGGGACACATCTCTCCTTGTGAGTAAGGGTAAATCCATGCTCTTCCAGACACAGTCAACCTGCTTTCCCATTTCCCTCAGAGCATGCTCTCCTACCTGAGGGTCTGTGTGTAGTTCAGAAAGGGTGTGATACCCAGGAACTTCTGGATGCCCTCCATTGAAGATGCTGGGTTGGTACGTAGCTCTTGCCCATCCACAATCAGCAACTAAAGGGACAGGAATGTGGTTCCCTCTATATTCCTAAGAAGCCACTGGGCTGAAGGGAAGAGTAGGGAAAAGGGGACCCCAACAAGGGTTCTTGGAGGACTGTACCTGTCCAGAAGGGTAGTAAGTCAGCCAACGTTGTAAATGGGTAGAATAATAGCCAGGGACAAGGCAGCGGTTCCGCAAGGAGCGAAGTGCCAAAGGGGCCTGGGAGGAGGCTGAAATCACCTGGTAGAAGGTATAGTTCAGAGCAACTGGGTCTCCATGTGCTCGCTGGTGCTGAAAGATAAAAAGTGAAAAGAGAAGGGACTGGTGATTTGGACTATTCGTCTGGTTACAGACAGCATAGGTAACCCTCCCCAAGGCACTAGTTCAATTTCTCTGTCATTCTTTTCTGTCTAAAAGTGACCACCTCTCCTGCTACTTTAAGCCCCTAGCTTCAGACAGACCTGGTACCAGGAGTAGGCCCTGTCAGCAGGGTTGGTGAGCACGGTGATAATTTTGGCTCGTGGCAGGAGGGCAGCCCCCCGCCGTGGAACAACCTCTGAGTCAAAGTAGGTGGCACTTTTTTCAAACAGAAAGTCAGTGCTGGCATTGGAAGGGATAGGGAAGAAGTCCATGTACCTAGGAAATAGGAGAGGCAGAGAAATTTATAGAATGAAGGGGTCAGGTACCTACTGGTAGAAATTGGCATTAGGTACTTTGGAGGAATATTCTTTGGAGAAACATTCAAAGGGGTCCCAGTCTCACCAGTCAATACCCTTGTGGTAATTAGGGCCACTGAAGAACTGAATCTCCTCAAAGGTGCTGGGGCTTGGGAAGCTGCTAGTAACAGCTGGGTGCAGGCTCAAGAAGAAGTGAATAGCTGTGGTTCCTAAATGGGAGAGAAAGACAGGCCACTGTGTAGAGAAAAACCAGGTCAATAGCATGAGCTTGAAGGGAGTGAGAAAATAATCACTCTGTGTGATAAAATTTCCTTTGACCAAATTAGTGAGAGAGGCCCAAGAAAGAGTTAAAAACAGTGGTTCTGAGCCTTGACTGTGAGTCAGAATTCCTTGTGGGTCTTCTAAGTAAAACTCATTAAGGCCAGCCTGTGGTATGGTGATCGGGGAGGTTGGATCCCACATGGCCGACTGCTTGCTTGAGTCCGGGACCCGGTGGCTTGGAAAACATACTGGGTGCATATGTGTGTATGCCCAAAGTCCTGAGAGGAGAATGGGGAGATGGGATTGTGTCAGAGCCATCTCCCTCAACTCTCTGGCAAGTGAACACACCCTATAGCAAACAAAATGAAACAAATTCCATATATAATTCTGATATACAACCAGGGTTAAGAATCAGTCTCAAAAGACTCGATTAATGAGGGGTGGGTATGAGAAGTTCCTTGGCAAAAGGATCCTTTGGGTTTAAGGCAGGGTAAAAGAAGCTAAGGATGACTCACCTGTCTTTTGGGGTCCCACAATGAGGAACTTAGGGAGTCGATCACAGGTTTTTTCCTTGGACCAGATATCTTTGTGTCTCTTGTCATCACAAGGATTCTGTAAGTGAAACCAAGAAAGATATAAGTCTAGTCTCTTAAATCCCACCCCTATCATGTCTCTGGTCAGCTGGCACTCCAACCTGACCTGCCAAAGGGGGCTTTGTTCCTGAGGGAAAAGTTCAAAGTACTTCCGTGCAAGAGGGACTGGAGGAAGGGTCTGTAGTCGCAGCCGTGTCCAGCACTGGAGAAAGCGCACCAGGCTCTCGAAGGTGTACAGGCCCAGCCGATCATTTCCATAATTGGACAGATGGGTCATAAAGATGCTGATCTGTAAGGGGATGCCAGTGTGTCAGACTGGAAGGCCTACCCAGCCTCAGACTCAACCTTGGCAAGTAAAGGTCCTAACTGGCTCTGCAATCTTCTAGCTCCTTTCAGCACATTACCGGATTAAGCAGCACTGTCAGAAAGAGCTCTCCACCTCGGATGCTTCGGTCTAGTTCACGAGATCCTCCAGGATACTCATTATAGAAGATTGTGTGAGTGAAGAGGCCACATGTCTGCCGGGGCAGCACCTGGAGGGAAAAGAAGAAACAGCTAAGTGAGATTTGAAAGGTAGAAAGAGAAGTGGATGAAGGACAAAAGTCCTCAGGCACTGGGATTCCTGGGTCTAAACCCAGGGACTACTCAGTCTGAAGTTATATTGATTAAAGTTCTTACAAGATGCATTAAGACTTTTTACCCTTCTTCCTTCTATCAGATGGATGAAACTAGACTGGCAGTTGATAGGACATAGATCAATGCAAGCTGGAGGCTATCTAAAGGTGAAAATTGGATTCAAGTTTGTACAGGGAGTCCCTCACCATAATGCCATTGTGAATGAAGCCACGGCGGTAGCGGGCAGGGCGGAGATGGGGATACTCTTCAGTGCTGGTCACCTGGATGCCCCACACAGATTTCCAAGCCTCATAGAGCTGTGTGTGGATGGGGTACACGCCCGAGTGGTGGGGAGCCACAGCATACCCCAGATCCGTAGGAATCCCATGCTCCTGGGAATGGCATAGATTCTCACCAGGACCTGGTGAGGTTTAGGGAGTAAAGGGTAAAGAGGGTGGGGATGCCTCCACAGAAAGAAGACTGAAAAGGGTAGGGAAGGGTATCCCATTAGGAGAGGGTTGAAAAGGGAACATTAACTCTGGAGAAAGTACAGGGAAGAGATTCAATGTTCTCACCAGAGCAAACTGTTTGTTGAGCCTCATCTGGTCAGCCAGCACAGAGCGATTGTGGAACAGGTGTGGCTGCATGTGGCTCCACATGTGGGGGAACCACCAGAACTCTCTGCGGTGCTTCAGAAGCATGTCGTCTCCGGCATCCTCCTCCTCTGTCCCTAGGACCACACACAGACCACTGACCACAGTCAGTCAGTGCCTGTGCACACCTTTGTTTTATCTTTTTAAGTTTTACTTAATTTTTTTGCTATGGGGCATGTGTACTCATCAGAGACAGATAGAGATGGAGAGAAAGTGAGAAAGCATCCCCCACCACCCCAGAGGGGATGGACAGTGCAATGTCTTTTCTATTATTCTCTCAGAATTTGGGTACACATGCACACGTGCCCAGCATGTTTATTAAGCTGCCAGGTCCAAGACTGGAGGAAGTGCACCAGTGTACCACATAGTAATCCGTCTAAGATCCAGTCACTTTAACCACACCACTGAAGGGTCCCTTTGTTTTATAATAACACTAACCACCTTACATTCTTGGAAGGTGACTGGCCCCTGCCCACCTAAGACTTCCTATTTGCTCCACAACCCATTTGCCCTCCAGCTACCCATGCTAACTTAAATTCATGTCTACCACTAGGTTCCTAACAGCAGTCTGACTCCAAACCTTGCTTCTTTTCTTTAACTTGTCTGCACCAGGGAGATGGACAGTAAAGGGACAAAACAAAGGAAGTGTGATGCTAAAGGAGCAGGAGAATAAGCTCACCAGTATGATAAAACTTGCCCGAGAAGCCCAAGTTGAAGGTGAAGTTGGGGACCAAAGTCCTGAGTTTGTTCTGTGTAGTCAACAGAGCCTAGGGAGAGTAGCAGGGACAAGATAAATTAAGAGAGAGCAGATTGAGCAGTATACATGGGAAGCAGTATTCTTCCTGTTTGGAAAGGCTAAGGAGTGTACCTATAACAAGGTCAGATTCAAGGAAGGAAGTCTGATAGTCCAGAGCTTGAAAAGCTTCTAAGAAAAGGAATTTAAGAGAAAGACTGACCTCAACATCAGCCACCTTCATGCGGGTACCTTCCTTGCCCACAAAGATGTCATCAATATCTACCAAGATGTAGCGGTCAAGGTCCAGGCAGAGGCGCTTGCCAGTCAGATATGCAACAGCATCAACGAAGACAAGTTTGTGGAGCCAGAAAGAAAGGCCGTGGCCAAAGAGCACCCGCTGGATGCCATCATGAAGCCCCAGGTCCTGCACTACAGTGGGAAGTCGGATCCGACGAGGCACTGGTCCTGGTACAGGGGGTTCGGCTGGCCGAAGGCTGGCAAGTAGCACTGACTCATATGTGCTGTGATTAGACTGGAAGATGGTCCAGTCATCACCAGGCAGTGGCCCAGGCTCCAAGCGGCTTGGGCGTGTGAGATGCAGTAGAGGGGCAGAAGGATTCACTTGGTAGTCCCGAAGTCCCAAATTTGAGTGTAGGAAAAGGGGAAAGCCTTTGAGCTGGGCACTTAGAAGACTGTGCTCATGGGCTCGGAAAAAGCCGATGATGCCCACACCATATTCCACGCAGTACCGGTCTAGCAGTTCCCGACTCCAGGAGTCCAGGTTGACATACTTGAGCAGGTTCTCATAAATGACCAAGACATAGCGGCCACGGGTATGATCAGTCAATGTGGGCATGTCCCCTCGGCCCGGTGCAAGCTCAGTACTATAACGAAAACGACTGGACTCCAGGATAGCCACAATCTCCTGACCCAGCTGTGAGTATGCACTCTCCACAAACACCAGGACTACAGGTTCAGTTCGAGTCGTCTCTGGAGGCCTGGGAGGACGGGGTGGGACTGGAGGCCGTGCGGGCCCAGGACCAGCTGCCCCACTGCTACTGCAGTCTCCCAAAGGCAAAGGCAAGGGTTCCTTGGCCTTGGGGCTGGTAGACACATAGTAAGCCAGGAAGCCCATGGAGCCCAGGCTGAAAGCGATCAGCAGCAGTATGAGGCGGTGCAGTTCCAGCTGCCGAGCTGGGCGTACCACCTTCCACAGCTGGAGCATGTCGGGGGAAGGGAGGGAAGAATGGGGGCTACCTCAGGGCATGGGAAGTAAGAGATCTCTATGCTAGTACTGTCTTAGGAGAGTAAAAGGATAAGAAAATAGGAGTCCTTCAAGGTCAGTTCCTTGGAAGAGGTGAAGACAAGTCTCCTTAGAACTGGTTAGGGGAGGTAGAAGGGGCAGCGGGGAGCAACTTGGTAGAGTCCATTAGCTCAGGTCACCATGGCCCCCTGGCCCATGGTTTCAGGCTGCAAATCAGGCTCCACCCTTGGCCCCAGCTGAGTTTCTCACATCAGAGGTCAGCAATGTTCACAATCTCTGCCCTGCTATCTGTAAGACAAAGAATTTAATGACTTACTTCTCCCCTTAAAAATGTGTCATTAATCCATTCTCCTCTTCCCCCAATCTCTTACCTCGTTTACTGGATGATTTTTTTTCTCCAAAAGAAAGCTCCTGTAGAAGAAGAACACAAGCTGAGTCCCATACCTTAGTTTCACAGTTTGTGTCCCTTTCTTAGAATATCCAAATGAGTGTTCAAGTTGTCCTCTGTGAGCTTATAAGCTCAAAATTGAAGCAATACTCAAGTGCTAAAAGAGAACAAATCTCTAACAAGAAGCCAAACAGCTCAGGAGGCTGGAAACAAGCTTGCTCTGAAAGGAGTTCCCAGCCTGTAACTGAGTAGTTGGCCAGCCAGCAAGAACTCTGATCTTTCTGTGAAGAAGGAACGGAAATCCCAGTAGTCCCGTGTCCTAACGAAATATTAGATAAGAGGAAACTCATGAGTCTGTTAATCTTCATCATCAATCAAACTCAATATCAGAGCCAACAGCACTAACGAACTTATAGTCAGTGGACACTATGGTAGAGAAATTCAAGAGAAAAGAGAAATAGTGATAGCTAATCATTGTAGTAGCTTCCAACCCAGAACCTGAAGACTCTTTTCTACTACTAGTGAAAAATTACCCATCTCCTATATCCTTCACCTCACTTGTGCCAGAGTTAGGAGAAGAGATTAAAAATGTAAACCCAGGGAACCAGCAGTTGGCGTAATGACTATGTCGCTGGACTCCCACATAGTTGACCGCGGTTCACGTGCTGGACCCGGTGGCTTAAAACTCATGCCAGGCGCGTGTGCGTGCGTGCCCAAGATCCCAAGAGGAGAATGGAGGAGAAGGGACTGCAGCGTGACCATCCCCCCTGGGGGGTGATTTCTCACTTTCTGTCTCTCTGTCTCTCTCCGTCTGTCTGGCGAGCACACGCGCCCTATAGCGAAAACCTCTCAAAAAAAAAAGTAAACCCAGAGCTGGTCACGTCACTGGGACATGAGAAAAGCCAAGAAGCTGAACGCAGCATCTCTTTTCCTGTTCATTCCAGCTCTCCTCCCTAAGTTAGCCAAGATGGCACTACACTCCCTTTCCTAAATAGCTCAGACGGGTACCTGAGTTAACCTGGAGAGTTATGAGGGATTGAGTTCAGTTACAAACACAGATCAAATTGAGTAGGACTGGATGACAGAGAGCAATAGGAGCTTAAATCATATCCAGTCTGGGTGTGTGTGTGTGTGTGTGTGTGAGAGAGAGAGAGAGAGAGAACACACAGTGTGGTCAGAAAACAGTTTTAAGGAGACCTAATTTGAGAACTTTTCTTTCACAGACTGCTTCTGATGTTTTACAGTCATTCCTTCTACCTAGGAAGGCTAGTGGTTATCAGTTCCTCTCTATTACCCACCACCATACATATCTCAAGAGTGATTAGGCAGAAACAGGATCCTTCAGTACTGAGAGAGATGCTTTAAGAAAAGTTCAGTTTGAGGCCAGTAGCTGCATGGTAGTTAGGGTGTTGGACTCCCACATGGCCTGCTGTGGTTCGAATCCCAGACCTGACAGCTTGCTTTTTCACTTTTTTTTTTTTTGGAGAGGTTTTTGCTATAGGGCGTGCGCTCACCAGACAGACAGAGAGAGACAGAGAGACAGAAAGCGAGAAATCACCCTTCAGGGGGGATGGCCACACCGCAATCCCTTCTCCTGTCTTTCGATCTCCTCTCGGGATCTTGGGCACGCACGCACACGCGCCTGGCATGAGTTTTAAGACACCGGGTTTAAAACCGACGCGAACCACAGTTGATTGCATGGGAGTCCAGTGACATAGCCATTATGCTAACTGCTGGTTCTGCTTTTTCACTTTCTTCCCCTCTCTCTCTCCAGTGAACACATGTGCCCTACAGCAAATTAAAAATAATAAATAAAATTAAATAAATACATATTTTTAAAAGTTCAGTTTTAGTTTGGGTAAAACTAATTAACATGGGAAAACTAGGAGAGATGATCAAATAGTGATGGGAATTAGAATTAGAGAAGCTTTAGGGAAAACACTGCAGTGAGAAGAAATTATTGAGGGTAAGTTGACACTCAGAGTGTATCACCCATGTTACTAATAGTTAATGTTTACTGAAAGCTTAATACTTGCCTAATATTCTTCTAAAAGTTTTACATATATAAGGAGGCTTCAAAAAGTTCATAGAAAACGAAATTCAAGTAGGAGTTTCTTTTATTTTTGGAGAGGGTTTTGCTATAGGGTGAGTGCGCTCACAAGACAGACAGAGAGACAGAGAGATAGAAAGTGAGAAATCACCCCCAGAGGGGATGGCCACGCCATTCTCCTCTCGGGATCTTGGGCACGCACGCACATGAGCCTGACGTGAGTTTAAGCCATCGGGTCCGGGACTCGAACCATGGTCCACTATGTGGGAGTCCAGCGACATAGCCATTACGCTAACTGCTGGTCCCTAGTTTCTTTTTTTTAAAGAGAGATTTTTGCTATAGGGCGTGTATACTCGCCAGAGAGATAGAAAATGAGAAATCCCCCGGGGGGGATGGCCATGCCACAATCCCTTCTCCTTATTTTCCTCTTGGGGTTTTGGGCATGTACATACACATGCCCAGTGTGAGTTTTAAGACGCTGGGTCCCAGACTCAACCTGATCAACTACGGGGGAGTCCAGAGATGCAACCATTATACCAGTTGCTGGTCCTAAGTTTCTTCTGATGTGAAAAAAAAAAAAAAGAAATCCATGAATAGTTTAAGAATATGCATTTTCCACTAATTTTTTTGAAGAACCCCCCCCCTGGTATTTAATCCTTACATCAGCTGAGAGGTAGGTAAGAGATAGATATTGTTATTACCCCCATTCTATACATGAGTAATTTGAGGCCCTTCTCTGGTCATTTAATAACTTGCCCAGGATCACACAGCTCAGTCAGTGGAGGAACTGGTATTCAAAGTCAGGCCTGTCAAGCTCCTTGAGTCCGAGCTTTTAACCGCTGCATTTTCGTTTCATACCTAGAAGAAGCAACGATATTTAGGGGAGGGTTTCTCAGTGAGCTCCTGGGACAGGTTGTGGGCTGAGATGATAAATACTGAAGGAGGTAGAGGGGCAAGGTGTGTGTGTGTGTGTGTGTGCAGCTGTAGGTTTCTGAGGAAAGAAACCAAGGGGTCATCAGGGCTCAGCCTGGGAGGGAGCAGTTTCACAGGGGCTGGAAAGGCTCTGGGGGTGCGCTGGGAGACAAGCAGTGCAGATGCTGTGGGAGGTGGGGGTACCCAGCGGGGACCAGGGTTCACCGACAGAAGGACTCTGTTGAAAGGGGATAAGGGGTCACAGGTGGATATGAAGAGTGCACCCGATGCGGCGCATTGAAGGGGAAGGGGCATGGAGCGCTCTGAGGCGACTCTTCGGTGACATCGAAGCTGGAAAAACCCAGAGGAAGGTGGGAGTCCGCTACTGAGGGGGCGATCTGGGAGAAACGAGGCGACTACCAGGGAGCTACTGGAAGGGGCACAGGGCCAGGGGCGCGCTGGGCCGCCGCGGACGACCCTGAGGGTTATGGTGGCAACACTCAAGGGAAGTCTGTGAAGCAAGGAATTAAGGGCGACCGTGCCTGGTGGCCACACTCTAAGTGGGAAGGGACTCTCCTCAAGGGCGGCTCACCCGGCGGACTGGGCGGCGTCCCCGCTGTCCCCGGGCTCCACCTTGTCCCGGGGCTGCCCGGCTTCCCTGCTCTCCGGGCCTCTGGCCGCGTCGCCGCGGCTCCGCCATCTCCGAGCGAACGC